GGAGGCAGAGAGGGGATTGGAGGCAGGGGCCCGTCGAGCTTTGTGGGGTTGTAATAAAACTGTGCGTCTGGGACATGAATAGTATTTCAAGTGAAAAAAGGAGCCCCCGCTGGGTCCCTCTGAAGTCTCCAGTTTTCAGAAAGCTCTAGTGGAGCTGCCACTCTTCTAGAACACTCCATGGCTCCCATGGTGCCTTGCCTTCTGAAAACCTGCGAGGCCCTGCTCTTGTGCAGACCCCTGGCCAGGCTCTGAGCTGGGGCAGGGCGGTGGGCTGGCCCGGAGGGTTCTGAGCCCACGGGCTTCCTGCGCTGTGCTGATGGAGGAGATGAGGGACGGTGCTGCCGTCCCGGGGCTGCGGTCAGTCACGTAGGCCTCACACAGGCCAGATACACCTCGGAGTGGAGCGAGGGCAGACGGGGTTAGAGCCCAGAACCAGAGCAGAGGGGAGAGGGGAGAGCAGCGGGAGGCTGGGACACGGGGGTGGGTGCAGCTGAGGTGGCAGCGGCTGGTGTGGCCAAGGGGCTTGTTGAGGTGGCGTGCAGCTCCGGGAGGACCGCGGAGGAGACAGGCCGCCTGCAGTGTGGATGCGGCTGGCGTGTGCAGAGACGCGGGCCCCACTCCACCCTGGCATGTGTGTGCGTCGGGAGCTTTCGCCGCTAACCGTCACCTCGGTATTGCCATTGCTTCCTAAAGGAGGGGGGGAAGGGGCGACAGGAACATCGACGGGTTGGTTGCCTTCCCCCACGATAGGGGCTGGAGATGGAGGTGTCCTGACAGGGCGTCACCGGAAACCTGTGCTGAGCGGACAGGATGATGCTCCAGCCAGCCGAGTGCTGGCCAGGGCTGGAGGCGTGTTTGAAACATGTCTGAGCGGAGGGGGCGGGGGCAGGGGCAGCATGGGGCAGGGTCCACTAGGGGGGCAGGGGCCAGTGTCCTGCCTGGAGGCGGCTCTGGTGGTGCAGCCCCACCTGTGCCCTGCGACGCTGGGTTCGGGGCCACATGACCACGAGGTGCAGCGCCCTGAGAGCCACGCCAGGAGCCCGGAGCCCGTCGCGCAGAGGTTGGTGTTTCCTCAGCTGGTAGTTCACTTTGTTTACATCCCGCACCACGGCCTGTTCTGCGTCTGTTTCCGCTCTGCTGGTGGGCTTTGTTCCTCGGAGCCTCCGGCATCGCCTGCTGCACACCCGGCCGGCCTTTGCGCACAGGTGGCTCCATCGCAGTCCCACGTCTGCCCCGTGTCTGGACGGACCAGGCTCCTTCCACGTCTGGATTCTGTGGATGAAGGTCCAAGGAAATGGCTCCCAGGCTCGAGCATGGGGTATGTGTATCTTTTAATTAGGGTTTTGTTTTCTTCAGATAATGCCCACAAGTGGAATTGAATCGTAAGGCAATTCCATTTTTAATTAAAATATATTTTACTGATTTCAGCGAGGGAGAGAGAGAAATATCCACGATGAGAGAATCATGGATCGGCTGCCTCCTGCACGCCCCACACTGGAGATCAAGCCCGCAACCTGGGCATGTGTCCTGACAGAGAATCAAACCATGACCTCCCTGGTTCCCATTTTGACAACCACTGAGCGACACTGGCCAGGCTGTTCCTTTTTTTTTTTTTTTTTTTTTTTTTGAGGAAACTCCATAGTGGCTGCACCCGTCTGCGTTCCCACCAGCAGTGCACGAGGGTTCCCTTTTGTCCACGTCCTCGCCGGTACTTCGATGTATTGATGGTGACATCCTGGCAGTGTTCTTGTTGTAACTGCATCAAAAGTGATGTTGAACCTTCCCCCCCCCCCCCTCTCTCTCTCTCTCTCTCTCCCTCTCTCTCTCTCTCTCTCTCTCTCTCTCTCTCTCTCTCGGCTGTGTGTCTGCTTTGGAGAAGTGCCCACTTTTAATTGGATTGGTGTGAGGGTTTTTGTATTACGTTGTATGAGTTCTTTATAAATTTTGGGTACTAACCCCTCATTGGATGGATCATTGGCAAATGTCTTCTCATTGGTTAGGATTTTTCCTTTTGTCGATGGTTTCCTTCACTGTGCAAACCTTTCTGGTTTGCTGAAGTTCCACTTGTGTACTTTTGGTTGCCTTTGCCTGAGGAGACATAGCCAAGAGATATTGCCAAGAGCAATGTCAGGAAATTCAGTGCCTATGTTTATAGGTCAGGGATTCAACCTTTTTCCTCTCATGGCACACAAACTAATTACTAAAATAAAAAAATATGTATTTTTTGCCCGACAAAAAAATAGGTATAATTTTTGGTTTGTTCACACCAGATGACTATTATTGTGATGGCTATGTCATTTGTTTATTTGACAATCCATGGGGAAAGAGGTCAGGTATTGCATGTTTTAAAAATTCTTGTGGTGCACCGGTTAAAAATCGCTGCCCTCCAAGTTTATGATTTCAGGTGCTACTTATTTCTGTTTATGGTGTAAGAAATTTTCATTTTATTGCCTGTATCAGTACAGTTTTTCCATTTACTTTATGTACCAATTGTACCAGTTAATAACTCGGATTTTGTAATCAAAGAAAACAGGATAATTTCAAGAGAAACATCAAAAGTGCTTTATTCAAAGTAATGTCCATCGCTAATTACACATTTCCCCTATTTTCCGGGTAATTTGTGGATACCATTCCAACAGAACTTCTGTTTTGAGGCAAACCATTCAGAGACCCAATGTTCTACTTCATATGTGTTAAAGTGCTGCTCAGAAATGCATGTGCCATCCTTCGGAACAAGTGGTTCTCTGAAGGAGCAAGGTCTGGTGAATAAGGCGAGTGGGTTAATACTTCCCAGGCAAGATCTTTTTTCTTTTTTTTAAAAAAATATATTTTATTGATTTTCCACAGAGAAGAAGGAAGAGGGATCGAGAGCTAGAAACGTCAATGAGAGAGAAACATAGACCAGCTGCCTCCTGCACAACCCCAACCGGGGATGTGCCCGCAACCAATGTACATGCCCTTGGCCGGAATCGAACCTGGGACCTCTCAGTCCGCAGACCGACGCTCTATCCACTGAGCCAAACTGGTTTCGGCCCAGGCAAGATCTTTTAACGTGCCTTTAACTGATTTTGAAGTGTGTGATGGTGCGTCATCATGAAGCAAAATGACTTTGCCGTATCTTCTGGCCCATTCTGGTCGTTTCACAATCAAAGCGTGGTTCAAATTCTTTTTTGTCGGTAGCGTTCAGTATTAACGGTTTCACCTGGTTTTAGAAGATCATAATACACCACACCTTCCTGATCCCACCAAACGCAGAGCAGTGTCTTCTTTCCAAAGTGATTTGGCCTTGTAGTCCATATTGATGGTTGACCTAGATCAACCCATAATTGTGTGCATTTGGGATTCTCAAAATAAATCCACTTTCATCGCCAGTCACAATTCAGTGCAAAAAAGACTTTCTTTTGTGCCACTGAAGCAACATTTTACTGATGACTTTTCGGTTTTCCATGTGTCTTTCGTTCAGTGGATGTGGCACCCATTTTCCTTCTTTTAAGATCTTTCCCATTGCTTGTAAACGATCAGAAATCTTTTGCTAGCAATGTTGAATCTTTCTGCAAGTTGTTTTTGAGTTTGACATGCACCTTCATCCAATAATGCTTGTAATTGTTGGTCTTCAAACTTTTTTAGTTGACCTGAATATTCTTTCTTTCACATCAAAATCATCACTTTTAAAGCGTTTAAACCAGCGTTCACAAGGAACTTGAGCTGGAGCATGTTCACCATATGCTTCCCAAAGTATTCAGCAGCACTTTTCTTCAAAATAATGAATTAAAATTTCCCACAAATGCTCCTTTTTTGGCACGAAATTCAACATTTTTAAGCATAAAATTATGTTAACACCTTCAGCAAATTTGACATGAAGTTTTGAAGCTTGTTGTCCGAACAAAACAGCATACAAAACAAATCACATGCGTATCAGCAGATGCGTGACTCCCGTCTATTAAAAACATCCGCATTATTAACCGGGACATCAGGTATTGGCTCACCCCACGTTATGTACTTGCCTCCTATGTCAGAGTAACTGCCCTGAGCGAGGGTTTACCGGGCCAGCGCATGTTGGTGCTGGTGCTGATCTGCTTTGGTGACCGTGGCCTTGCAGTCCAGTTTGATATCAGAGCCTGGCCCCTCCCACTCGGTGTTTCTCAAGAGTTCTTGGGCTGTTTGGGGCTTTTGAGGCTCCATATGGAGCCCGTTCCAGGCCCAGCCCATGGGGAGGAAGCAGAGCCCAGCGCGCTGCCCGTGGGAGAAGCAGAGACCGGCATCTGGGGAGGCCGCGGGGGCTGGAATTGGGGGCAGCATTCCAGACAGAAGGGACTGCACAGCGCGCTGGAGAGCAGACCTGCAGCGGCCCCCGGCCTGCTCGCCTGCGCGTTTGGAATCCAGTTGTGTGTGTGCAGGGAAACGGCCAGAAAGCAGGAGGCGGAGGCAGGAGTGGAAGACAGGACAGGCCGCAGGGGAGCACGAGGGCATCAGGAGGAACTGCCGGAGCGAAGTCGGGAGAAGAGGGCGGTGAGGGCCTCCTACCTGGGCAGGGATGAAGTCCACAGTCTCAGCTGCCGCCCAGCGAGCAGCCCTGCCTCAACAGAAGGTGGCAAGCAGGAGCCTCTCCCCGGCTGGCCTGGCTCTGCCCCCGAGTGCTGCTGGGCCGCTCGCCCAGGCCCGAGCCACTGCAGCAAATGGGTTTATTATAAAGTACGTGGCTACAACACGGACGGACAGATACCAAGCAATGCAGTGTGCTCCCCGGTTCCGCCGAGGCCGAGATGGCCCCTCGATGGACACACAGCCGCAGTGCTCCGCTCTACAAACCTGGGCGCCTTCCACCCTCGGGCAGCCACCTCTTCCCTCGGGATGCAGCGTCCCAGGTGCAGGCGGGGGCAGGCCATCCCCTTGGCCCGTGAGCTCCAGCCCCAGCCTCACAGTGTGGGGACCCAAAGTCCAGCCTCTGTTCTAAGACCTTGGGGTCCCGCTGTGGGGCCGGGGCCCCGCCCGGCCCGGGCTCACTGGCAGCACTCGGCCACGTGCTGGAAGAGCTCCTCGCCCTGCTCGTCGCTGAAGCACTGCAGGCAGTGCGGGCACTGCAGGTCCCCCTGGCCTCCCCGGCCGGCTCCGGGGGCCGGGCCCCGGGAGGCGGACACGGGCCTCTGGCCACCGGGCACCGCACCCTCCGAAGCCTTGGTCTCCGCGTGCCTGGGTGCTCTGCTCGCCGTGTGGATCCAGCAGGAGCCTGCCTCTGGGGGGCCCTGGAGAAAAGGCAGAGGACGTCCTGGCTGTGCCGGAGGCCACCACTTGTCTGGGTTCTTCCATCCTCCGGGGGGCGTGCACTCCTCGCCCGCTTCCCAAAGAGGCAGGAGGGAGAGCAGAGCCAGGGGCACCGGGGCCACAGGCCTCCTCCTGGATCCGGGTGTGCTCCCAGGTGTGGGCAGTGAGCACCGAGGCAGACGGCCTGGGCACGGCCACCAGCTGTCCCACCCACCCAACCTCCTCCCCAGGGCGCTCTCCACCCCACACCCAGCCCGGTGGCTCTGCCAGAGCGGGCAATGGCTCTGAGCAGACAAGACTTGGCGTCCGTGGGAAGGACAGAGGCCTGAGCTCATGGGCCGGCCCCACACCCACCTGTCTGCGCGCCTGGCGCTGCAGGGCCGCCACCTGGTCCTCCAGCTCCTGGATCCTGCCCTGCGCCCGCTCCCGGTCCGCCCGCTCCGACGTGAAGTCGTCCTTGTAGGTGAGGATCTGGAGAGAGCGGCCCTCAGCATCACCGCGGCCCCGGAGGCCTCCCGCCCGCCCGCCCACCCGCCCGTCCTACCTGCTGCTCCAGCATCTGCGCCCGCTCCCGCGCTGCCGCCAGCTCCCTCGCGGCCCCCGCGCACTCGCCCAGCCTCTCCTCCAGCTGCCCGTTGAGCCTGGCGATCTCCTTCCTCATCAGCTCCGCCTCCGCCTCGGCCTGGGGAGCCTGCAGCGCCCGCAGCTGGGCCCGCAGCTCCTGCACGTACTCGTCCCGGCTGGCGTCGTAGCGCTGCCACTTGGCGTTGAGGTCTTCCACCTGCGGCGGGCGGTGCCGTGAGCGGCTGGCGGGGCCGCGCTCCTGCCCACCAGCCGGGAGGCACCGGCGGGCAGAGGCGGCCTCCGCTCTGCACAAGCGGCGCCTAACACCGTGCGTGCTTCCTGCCTCGGGGGCCGTCGGACAGCGACTCCGGCCCCCGCTATGGACACGGGGATCACAGAATGAGTCCGCTAGTCCTTCAGGGAAAAGGCTGGCAGCCGGGGGGCCGAGGGCAGGGCCCGTGCTCCCTGGAGCTCTTCCCATGGACACTCACGTGAGTCAGCTTCTGCTTCAGCAGCCGGTTCTCCTCCTGGAGCTTCTGCACGGCAGCCTGGACCGAGGCGTCCCCGCCTGTGTGTTCCGGCTGCACAGGGATGCGGAGAGACCCGTCACCGGGCGTGCAGTCACGTGCGGCAGAGGGGAAGGAGCAGACCCCGAGGCTGAGGTCAGTGCGCAGGGCGGCCCTCACCTGCCCAGGCCCACCCCCGAGGGCAGGAGGCTGAGCCCCTGTCCACGGAGCACGCTCCGGAGGGGCCACGGAGCTGCAGGGCAGGCCTGGCCGTGGCCCGGGCTCATCCCTTCAAGCCCTCCACCCCGTGGTCTCCAGACACTCGGTCAATTCCACGCAGGCTCGGGGTCGCACCCAGAGCCACATTCCAGAGCAGCCCTCTGGGGCAGACCTGGCGGGAGATCTTGGGGCGGGTCCCCGGCTCCTCAAGAGCCTGGCTGGGACAGCACAGCACAGCGCGGGCTTGCCGACAGGTTCTGGAGAATTCCCCGTGAGCCACAGGAAGTGCTGCCCGCGCTGGGGAAACCCCATGACTCAGCCCAGCCCGAGCCCCGGGCTGGGAAGTGATGCTGCCTGTGGCTGCGGAGCCCGGCCCGGCCCACGCCCAGGCCCCGGCCCACGCCGCCCCGGCCGCCCACATGCCTGCCACCATGGTCTCACAGGGAAGGCAGTGACTCCAACGGGGACGAGAACACACCTCCCCAGGGCCTTTCCTTTGGTTCTGACACACGTGTCGCTGCGCCCTCTCAGGCAGAGGTCTCCTGTGGGGCTGAGCGCACTGAGGAGCCGCCCAGCAGGCCCGGCCCATCGCTCCCTCTGCTCCCAACACCCCTCAGCCCCTGGGCTCCATCTGAGGAGATTCCTGATGCTGAGCTCTCACTGCCCCCCCTTGCCGCCACAGCCCAGGCCGCCCTGTCCAGGAAGGCCGCCCTCCGGCCCGCCCCCACTTCCCTGATGAGGGTGTGGAGCCACGATGCTGGCCGGGACGTGCGGAGGCCAGAGGCCAGCTCAGACACAAGCCGCCACCTGGCCTCCCGCACTGCCCGCCCGTCCCGTCCTGCCCGGCTTTCCTGCGTGTCCCAAGTTGATTTGATTTTCTTCCCTTTTTTTATTTGTTTTTATTTTCTCCTTTTGTCCCCCGAGGGCGGCCCTGCCTCGGTGCGGGAGGCGGCGGAGGGGGGTGTGCGGGGAGGTCCCGGCCTGCCCCCTCCCCTGGGTGCCCGGTGCCTACCTCAGGCCGCTGCTGCCCCGCGGCGCCCTGCCCCGCCTCCAGGCGCCGGGCCAGGTGCTGGCACATGTGGGCCGTGGCGGCCAGAGTCCTGCGCAGCTGGCGGCTCTCGTCGGCCAGGGAGCGGCACAGGGTGTCGCTGGCCGCCCGCGCCCGCTCCTTCTCCGCCACCCGCCGCCGCAGCGCAGCCAGCTCCTCGCGCTCCGGGCCCGGGCTCGCCCGCTGCTGCGCCGCCTCCTTCGCCGCCAGCTGCTCCGACAGCCTCTGGACTTCCTGACGGAGACAGAAGCCGTCCCTCCGGAAAGGCCCCGCGGCAGCAGCCGCCGGTCCCCGCCGCCCGGCAGCGGGCACACGCCGAGGCAGCTGCCCGCCGGCGGCTCCCGCGCCCGCTCCCGCCAGCTCCGCGCTGCACCCAGAGGCCCGGCCGCCCCGGCGCGTGGCCTGGCTTGGCCGTGGCGCGGCCACTGGCCGTCAGGGGAGTCATGCTGGACCGGAGGGACCCTCAGTGACCAGTGTCCCCGTGAGGAGAGGGCGACGCGGCCACACACACCCCGTGAGTGGCAAGGAAGGCTGGCACCGCCGCAGAGGCGGCAAGGCCCCCCGCACCGGACACGGGGGAGGGAATCTCCGCTGTGGGCGCGCCGGCAGACGGGCCCGGGAAAGGGTGTGTAAAACGCGCTGCCGCTCGCCGTCTGCTCCCGCACGGCCTTAGCGGGGCTCCCCGTGCTCAGAGAGCCTCCGGGAGGCCGGCCGGCCGTTAGGGGCGAAGCGGGAACAGCCTGGAAGGTGAAGCAGGGAGGGGCGTGGCCTGCTGCGCACCAGGCACCAGGAACCTAGAACCTTCTCCTTTAAAAGCATCAGAGCCCGAGGGAAACAAACCTTCCGTCCCCACCGGCCGCCCTCCGCTCCTCCTTCCAGAACCTTCACAAGCACCTGAAGCACCTGCTTTACCACGGGGACCTGTGGCGACTCCCACCTCGCCTTCCTCCGCCCTCGCTCTTCTCCCGTTCACAGCCCCACCTCGCTGACATGTGCTGCCTCCTGCCCTCGTGCAAACACCGGCGGCTTTAGGATGGGGTTCAGCACCCGCCCCCCTCCGCAGGGCGCACAGAGCGCGCGGAGCAGGCAGAGCTGCCCTCGCTCACGTCGGCAGCTCAATTACTCCGTCCGCGCAGAAGCTGCCGCTCGGCAGCAAGCCCAGCGGGGCGGCCTTGTCCTGCCCGCTGACACCGGCCACTCAGTGCCAGTGCATGCTTGTCCATGAAACACTGACCTTACACAGACCATACAACATGCGACAGGACTTCTACAGCGAACACAGGCCAGAAGGCAGTCTCCCTCGGAACCACAGGTGTGACAGACTCCTAGGTCCCTCCCGTTCCTCCCGTTCCTCCCGTACCACAGCGCCAGCAGGAGCAGCTGCGGCACTCAGTCCTCATCCCGCCACCCATACCGTCTCCACACACACACACACACACACACACACACACACACACACCAGAGACAGCTCTGAGTGTCTCCCCTTCTACAGGCCAGCGGTGACCCCAGGGTTAGGCAGCCCGCGGGTGACCAGGTAGGAGGCAGCGGTACTGGCCACCCCGCCTCACTGCCTTCATGTGCTGAACTCCCTCACATCTTCTCGGGGGCTGGAGGACCTAGGCAAGACCTGTTTTTTAAAAAAATATATATATATATTACTGGTTTTTTTACAGAGAGGAAGGGAGAGGGATAGAAAGCTAGAAACATCAATCAGCTGTCTCCTGTACACCCCCCACCGGGGATGTGCCCGCAACCAATGTACATGCCCTTGACCGGAATTGAACCTGGGACCCTTCAGTCCTCAGACTGACACTCTATCCACTGAGTCAAACTGGTTTCGGCAAGACCTGCTTCCTAAGCATCCTCCCTCACTGACCAGGTGAAACAAACCTCTCTGCTAACAGCAGCACATCCCTGGGCCAGGGGGGGGCGTGGGGGTGGGGCAGTTCACAGAGCTTCCAGGGGGCACTCTGTCTGCATGCCTCAGGCCTGGCCCTGTCTGGTTAGGACTGGGCGATAGACCAGGGTCTGGCCTCTGTGCTCAACCTGCTCACAACACACACACAACTGCCAGCACCGCCACCTGTAGGGTGAGTTTGGTTGACTCTGAAGGACTTGCCAACCTTATATTTTTATCTTAAAAATCAGCCTTCAAATGTCAGTGAAGGCCCTGGCCGGCAGCTCAGTGGTTAGAGTGCCGTCCCAATATGCCAAGGTTGTGGTTCCGTCCCTTGTTAGGGCCCGTGTGAGAAGCAACCAGTAAATGCACACGTGGAACAACAAAACCAATGTTCTCTAACACCAATCAGTAAGTTTTTAATTAAAAAAGACCCGGAACTGATAGCTTCACAGGTGAATTCTACCAAACATGAATACCAATTCTCAAGTTTTCCCAAAAAACTGAAGAGGAGGGAATACTTCCTATATTTATGATGCTAGTATTACCCTGATTCCAAAGCAAGACAAAGACACAAACCTACAGCCCAGGGCCCCTTGGGAACGCTGAGCAAAAAATTCTCACCAAAATACCAGCAAACCACCAAAATAGCAAATACCACCAAAATACTCAGCAACACATGAAAAGGCTTACACACCATGACGAGTTGGGATTCTTTTCCTAGAACGCAAGGATGGTTAAACATGAAGACTGGCCGAAACCAGTTTGGCTCAGTGGATAGAGCATCGGCTTGGGGACTGAAAGGTCCCGGGTTCGATTCCGGTCAAGGGCATGTACCTTGGTTGCGGGCATATCCCCAGTAGGGGGTGTGCAAGAGGTAGCTGATCGATGACTCTCATCATCGATGTTTCTAACTCTATCTCTCTCCCTTCCTCTCTGTACAAAAGTAATAAAATATATTTAAAAAAAAAAAAACCATGAAGGACTGGCCAAGGAGCCCTAGCTGGTCTGGCTCAGTGGATAGAGCGCCGACCTGCGGACTGAAGGGTCCCAGGTTTGATTCCGGTCACATGCCTGGGTTTCAGGCTCAATCCCCAATGGGGAGTGTGCAGGAGGCAACCAATCACTGATCTCTCTCATCATTGATGTTTCTCTCTCTCCCTCTCCCTTCCTCTCTGACATCAATAAAAAAATTTTTTTTAATTGGTCAATGAATGAACTAGATTTAGTGTGAACATCTCACAGTATATACAAATATCAAATCATGTTGCATACCTGAAATTAGTGCATCAATTCTGTCTAAAGGGAAAAAAGCAGCTTACACTATGGTACCAGTGTCCTGGGTTGGAAACATGTTGGCCTAGTTCCAAACTCATCCTACATTCGGTGCTTCCCACTGCACCTTCCTCCACCCCTTTCACAGCCTGCTTCACGGAGTGATCACTTCCATACACGTGGCCTGCAATCTGAAGGGCAGGAAGTGGGCCTTGATGGTCTCTGCACCCTCTAGCCTCGTGTGAAACAGCGTGCAGTTACCAGCTTTCCACGGCAGTAAAGGCCGTGGCCACGTGCCCGTCTAACCTACACCGCCTCCCGGGCCCGCGCTCTGAGTGAGCACTTTACCCAGCGCTCAGCGCCGGCGCACAGCCTCCTGAGCGCCGGGAGGACGGAAAACACGTGTCCACACGCTGCTCCCACATGAAGGGTTCTCGATGAAAAAGCCCAATAAACGCCCGAGTAGCAGCAGGAAGTGACCTTCACACCTGAGCACCAACCACGTGCAAGAGGTTAAGCTATGTACTAGGCACATGGTAAACCGTGTGTTCACAACACAACACAAAACCCACTTGTGATGCTTTCGGCAGGCAATAGATTTTCTACAATGTCTGCTTACTCAGTGTGATCTGAGCTTCATAAAGACGGAAACCAGCCTTCCCTGATCCTGTCTGCATTTTAAAAGTATTTTCCTATTGCTTTCAGAGGGAGAGGGAGAAAGAGAAGCATCAATGACCAGAGGGAATCACTGATCTCCCTCCTGCAGGCCACACGGCCGCCCTTTCTGCATTGGAGTGCCCGCCAGACGGTGGGTGTGAAGAGCTCAATGAAGGACCAGCCGAAAGGATCAGACTCGGCACAGAGGCAGGGGTGGCAGTGGGAGGTGATGGGGGCGGGGGGAGGTTAGCCCGGTGCCCGCCTCGTGCGGCAGGAAAGCGACCTGGAGCCAACCGCCCGCCGACCGCGCCCAGGGACCCCATCCAGGGCCGAAGACGCCCTAATGCCCCGGCCTCCGCCCGCGCCCCGCTCCGCCTGCGGCGCACCTGGCGCAGCGCGGCCTCCACGGCGCCGGCGTCGCCCTCCCGCCGCCGCAGCTGCTCCCGGAAGCGCGCCACCTGCTCCAGCAGCGCGTCCACGAGCGACGGCGCCGCGTCGCCCTCCAGCGCGGCCAGGCGGGCGCGGAGGCGCTCAATGAGGGCGTCCCGGGCGGCCAGCTGCTCCTGCAGGCGCCGCAGCTGCTGCCCCGCCTCGTGGTACAGGCCGCACAGGGCGGCGGCCGCGCGCGGGGCTCCCTCCCGCCCGCCGGGCCCCGCGTCCCCCGACGACATGTCTGCGGGCCCGGCCGGGAGGCGCACGCTCCGGACACTTCCGCGCCGGCCCGCAGGCCGCCGCCTCCCGGAACTTCACTGCCGCCCCGCCCCCGCCCAGCGTCCGCCACGCCCACTTCCTAGTGCTGGGACCCGCCCACTGCTGACCCCGCCCGCCGCCTCCTGTCCGGCACGCCCACTTTCTAGTTCCAGGACCCGCCCATTCCTGGCCCCGCCCACCGCCTCCTGTCGGCCACGCCCACTTCCTAGTTCCAGGACCCGCCCATTGCCCGCCCCCGCCTGTAGGCCACGCCCACCTCGGAGGCCAGGTCCCGCCCCTGCCTGTAGGCCACGCCCACCTCGGAGCCCAGGGCCCGCCCCCGCCCTGAGCCGGGCCGCCCCCATCCATCCCGGCCCGCGGCCGTGCACACGCGGGCGCGGGCTCACCCAGCGGCCCCACGGGGGCTTTCGGAGGATCGGCCGGGCGTGGGCAGGGGTGGAGCGGCCCCTGAGGCAGCCGCTGGGGGAGGAGAAAGGGGGATCAGAAACGGACCTGAGCCGGACCACACCCCCAGCTGCGGCCGGCGGCTCCCGGAGCGACCGGGAAGGCGCTCCCAGAGCTGCGCCTCGCGAGGTGCCACTCCCCGCTCCCGCCCCGCTCCGGGGAGGCCCTCCGCGCGCTCCCGCCGCCCCCGCCCCTTCCCGCCGGCCCGGACCGGCGCCCGCGGGCCTCCGCTCCTCCACGCCTGTCTCCTCTCAGGTCTGAGCTCTGCCCACGATGGTGCCCAAGCACCGTGCGGCCTTCCCGGGGTTCCCGCCGGCAGGGCCGCCGCCGCCCCCGGCAGGGCCGGTGGGGAGAGAGGAGCTGAGAGCGGCGTCCTCGGCCCCCGCGGCTGTACCGGGGCAGGCGGGTCACTGAAGGGGAATGAGGAACCGCTGAGGAGGCGCCGGCCACCAGGGGGCGCGCGCACGCAGCACCAAGACGGCCATTGGGGAAGAAGTGTCCAGAGACCCCACCAGCCTGGGCCCCAGCAGGGCGGACGCACAGGGGGTTCCATTCCCGGACAGGGCACAGGCCCGGGGGCGGGCTGGATCCCCAGGGGGGCGTGCAGGAGGCAGCTGATCCACCATTGTCTCTCATTGTCGTTTCTGTCTCCCTTCCTCTCTGAAATCAATTTTTTAAATGTACAGCTGGTCCTCCAATAACCTCCTCCTTAATTATAACGAGAAAAAAGTCTTTTCCCAGCTAGGACCGCTTCTAGAATTTACACGTGTTCCGTGTGTGTGTGTGTGTGTGTGTGTGTGTGTGTGTGTGTGTTTCTTCCCACATCTCAACAAAGTGCACCAATTACATTGTGAGGCGGCTGGCAGGTCCATGTGGTCCCAGTCGGGGTGAGTGTGGGCGTGGTTGTGGGTGCCCCTGCAGTGGGAGGACGTCCTGTCTGGGTGGGGTCCCAGAGCCTTGAGCCCTGAGCTGTGGGGAGGACTTGCCGCTGTGACCCTGAACTAGAAGGAGCAGGTTGGAAAGTAGAGATCTTTGTCTTCCTTAATCTCCGGGAGACATCAGCATGGAGGGGGAAGGTCCATGATGAAAACAAGAGTCCAGCCCTGGCCAGTGTGGTTCAGTGGGTAGAGCGTTGGCCTGTGGAACAAAGGATCCTGGGTTCAATTCTGGTGAAGTTGCAACCTCCTGGCCAGCCTGGGCCCTGGTCCAGGACGTGCAGGAGGCAACCAATTGATGTGTTTCTCTCAGCTCCGTGTCTGTCTTTCCCTCCCTTCCACTCTCTCTAAAATCAGTGGGAAATGTCCTCGGGGGAGGGTTACCAACAACAAACATACTCAACCAAGAGCCCAGGGCACGCTCAGAGCTGAGCCCCAGCCTGGCCCCACCAACCCGCCCTCAGGGCAGAAGCCGGACTCACCGGCCCCTCCAGGCTGGCCATCGAGGGCATTTCTCCCGGGAACCTGGTTCTTCAGGATGCAGGGCCTCGTCCTGGAGCCAGCACCCTGCTCACAAGTCCACGCTCAGCTTGAGCGGCGGCTGCCAGCTCCCCAGCCTCCAGGAGGAAAGAGAGGGACACACACGGGCCAGGGGATACTGCAGACCCCCAAAGCCAACCCCGCCTCTCAGCATTCGGGAGAGCACCCTCTCAGTGGGATTTGCACGCAGACACACTTCCCCGGAGCTTGAGAGCTTGCTCCCCCGCATGTGTCATCAGTTTGGCTCAAACAAACTCCTATAAAAATGTTTAAAAGACCCTGGTTGGGTGGGTAGCTCGATTGGTTAGGGCATTCTCCGGATGTGCGGGTTCGATCCGTGTTCAGGCCACTTACAAGAAGCAACCAGTGACCTGGCCGGTGTGGCTTAGTGGCTGAGCACCGACCCATGAACCAGGATGTCACGGTTTAATTCTCAGTCAAGGGCATTTGCCAGGTGGTGGGCTTGATCCCGTGTGAGGTGTATAGGAGGCGGCAGATCTATGGTTCTCTCTCATCACTGATGTTTCTCTCCCTCCCTCTCCCGTCCTCTCTGAAATCAATAAAAATATATTTTTTAAAAACCACGAAAAGCAAAGCAAAACAAAAATAAACTTGAAGAACAAGAAGCAACCAATAAATGCATAATACTAGGAAATCTCTCTCAAATCAATGGCAAAAAGTGACAGAGGACAGATGTTTTCCGAACGACAAGGCCCCTGACAGCCGCCAGCCTGAGCCCTGCCCGCCCCGGGCCCTCCCGGCCCGGAGGCTGCGCTGCGGGGCCAGGGAAGAGGCGCTGTGGGGCGCGGGGCGCGGGGCGCAGTGAGGGGACCCCTGGAGGGTGTGGAGAGGAGGCGGCGGACCCGGGGGTGCGGGGCTGACCCCCGGGAGCGGTGAGCGCGGGGCCTGCGGCGGGGCGGGGCCTGCGGCGGGGCGGGGCCTGCGGCGGGGCGGGGCCTGCGGCGGGGCGGGGCCTGCGGCGGGGCGGGGCCTGCGCCTTCCCGGGGTCCGCCCGGCGGCGAGCGGAGCGGCGGGTCCCCACCGCGGGCGCCGGGCCTGGAGCTCCGGCCGCGGGGGCGGAGGGGCTCAGCGCCGTGCCGCTCGGTCCCCGGGCCCGGACCGAGGAGAGGAGCCCCCCCCCCGGGACGCGCAGGGGGCGGGCGCCGCTCCTCTCCTCCCAGCGGCTCCGGCGGGGGGGCGGGAGCTGTCGGTCCTCGCCGGGCGCTCCCGGGAGGAGGCGGGAGGAGGAGGAGGGCGGGAGGAGGCGGAGAGAAACATGGAGGAGAGACACGATGGGTTTGCCTTCCCAAGGCGCCGCGGACCACCCGCCACCAGGCGGCGCCCGGCGGGCCCTGCCCGGACCCCGCGGTGGGTCTGGGCTCCTCGCTCCCTCGGGCAGGCTTCCCTCGGGCAGGCTCGGAGCCTTTCTTTAAACGCATATCTATCCACTTTGCCCTGGCCCGTGTGGCCCAGTGGACAGCGTTGGCCTGCGGACTCAGGGGTCCCAGGTTCGATTCCGGTGAGGGGCATGTCCCTTCCTCTTAAAAAATCAACAGCACCTGGGCCCGGGCCGGGAGGGCGTGAACCCGCGCCCTGGGTGCTGGGCCGCCCCCTGCCCTCCGCGGGAGGCCGGCCCCGCTGTGCCGCCTGGGGAGCCCGCACCCGGACCCGCAGCCTCGGAGGCGCCCGACCAGGGCTTTGGAGAAAGGGAGGGGGCCCCTGCGGCTGCCAGGAGAGGCAGCGGTGCGGCCCGGTGCCCCCAGGCAGGCTCGGTCCCCTGTGCCCCTCCCGCTCCAGGCCTCCCTCCCCCGGACGCAGCCTGGGCCCGGAGTCCGTCAGGCGGCGGCCTCCCCGGCGCAGGGCTGGTCCTGCTCCGCTCAGAGGTCCACCTCCGGCCCAGGGGCTGGGGAAGGGGGGCTGGAGATGGGGGTGGGGGTTAGGGGCAGAGGCAGAGCTAGAAGCAGCCTCCTGGACCCAGCGTTCTGGGCGACTGGCGGGCGGGGGTGGAGGGTTGGGGAGTGGGGGGGGCTGAGACTGAGCGGCAGGGGAGATGGGGGGGCATCCGGGTTTGGTCTGAGCCAGGGCGGAGGGGAGGGGAGAGGGGGACATCGTGGTGTCAGGAGTTGGGCTGATGGATAGAGTGGCCCCTGAGCAGGGAGTGGTACCCAGAGCCGCACATCATGGTTTGGGGACCCTCGGGAATGGGAATCAGGCCAAAGGGCACCTGGAGGATGGAGGGTGGAAAAGGGAGGATGGGGGATGGAAAGGGGGGTATAGAGGGTGGAAAGGGGAGGATGGAGGATGGAAAGGGGGGGATGGAAGGTGGAAAGGGGAGGATGGAGAGTGGAAACGGGAGGGTGGAGGTGGAAAGGGGAGGATGGAGGTGGAAAGGGGAGGATGGAGGTGGAAAGGGGAGGATGGAGGGTGGAAAGGGGAGGATGGAGGTGGAAAGGGGAGGATGGAGGGTGGAAAGGGGAGGATGGAGGTGGAAAGGGGAGGGTGGAGGTGGAAAGGGGAGGATGGAGGGTGGAAAGGGGAGGATGGAGGTGGAAAGGAGTGATGGAGGTGGAAAGGGGAGGATGGAGGGTGGAAAGGGGAGGATGGAGGGTGGAGGTGGAAAGGGGAGGATGGAGGTGGAAAGGGGAGGATGGAGGTGGAAAGGGGAGGATGGAGGGTGGAAAGGGGAGGATGGAGGTGGAAAGGGGAGGATGGAGGGTGGAAAGGGGAGGATGGAGGTGGAAAGGGGAGGATGGAGGGTGGAAAGGGGAGGGTGGAGGGTGGAAAGGGGTGATGGAGGTGGAAAGGGGGGATGGAGGGTGGAAAGGGGAGGATGGAAGTGGAAAGGGGGGATGGATGATGGAAAGGGGAGGATGGAGGGTGGAAAGGGGGGATGGAGGGTGGAAAGGGGAGGATGGAGGTGGAAAGGGGGGATGGATGATGGAAAGGGGAGGATGGAGGGTGGAAAGGGGACGATGGAGGTGGAAAGGGGTGATGGAGGTGGAAAGGGGGGATGGATGATGGAAAGGGGAGGGTGGAGGGTG